ATTTTTGCAAAAAGCTGTAACTCTTTTTAGTACTTAAGAAATTAATTTATATATATGAGTGTTAGCGTAGGTGGGATAGAATGGCTGTATTTGTTAGTGGTCAGAATTTATTCAAATCACCGTGTATGCATGGGTATATATATTTTAGACATTATTTATTCATAACAGCAATACCCTGCACACTACTTGATTAGAGAATTTGAAGGCTTGATTTTATATGTTTTAACATATAAAAAAATATTTAAAAATATTAACTAATAAAATATCTTCAAATATTTTGGTTGCTTACGATATAAACACTCAAATAATTCAGTTTTGTAAACATAAAACATTACCTAATAAAGTATCCTCAACTTTTGCTACGTGAATTTATTAAATTGCGTAAACAAATCTCGAAAATCATGGGGAGGGCAGAAACTAAAACAAAACAGTTCCTGTGGCGGGCGTCGTTTTTTTTAGTGAAAATGGGGGGGGGGAGAAACAAATTAACAAGAAAATATAAGAGTTGTGTTTTAATGTAAATATCAGCTACGTAAACACTCTATTTTTTTATCGTACCTGTGCGCAATATACGTGTTATAACACAAAAATTGCTTGCTTATAACGTACTTGTCGATGAATAGCAATATACATTTAATATTTACCTCTCTAATAAAGTCTTTTTTTTGTTTTGAGAGGGTAAAACGTAATAGTCCTTAGACTAATAAACTTGTGGCCCTCTATATATTCACTCACACTCACTACCTCAACATACACACGACACTCCTCATACATACTACACGACACTCCTCACAGCTAGTTTTTGACTGCGAGGAAAACCAGCGGACCTGGAGAAAAACCCTCGGAGCAAGGAAGAGAACCAGCCACAAACTCAAATCACATATAGTCCCGGACCGGGAATCGAACCAGGACCACAGCGGTGATAGACCGGCGTTTTAACGGCTCGGCCATCCTTGCTCCCCATCTACAGAATTTCACCCAGTATACGGTACTTCCGGTTTCGACGTCTCGAATTCTTAACTTCCGGTGGTGCAAACGCGACATAACACATATATAAATTGGAAAAAAGGTAAAACGCAAGTCGATCTAGCCTACGACTATCCTGACTAATAAGTTTTTGAGTATTTGAAAACTTACAACATAGCTACAGTTGTCATAGCGATTTACAACATTTAATAGTCCTTTGTACATCAGTTATGCCACATTGTAAAGGCCGAATTAGATAGCACAACATCTGTTTACAACCATCTCATCTAACCTGAGTAAGTCATCCTTACAAGATGGCTACAAGTGTCGCAGGGATTTAAAACACTTGCTTTATATCCCCACGACAGTTGTATGTACATGCAATAGTTGATGGCTAAAGTTGTGCCGTCCAATTCAATTCCTTTAGAGGCCGACGTGCATCCCAGATAGTTCCTTTTCTTTTACAAATAATATCTTGTTGGAAAGCTAGKCGCCTTTCAAACACGATAAAATTMATGATCAMCATTTTACAGTCAGTAAATATCTAATACTGTCTACAATATTCATTGTCTAAAGGGGGAGAAGTGTGCACACGGCACCATCTCGAGGTGAAATTGTTCCTTCTTGTTTGATGGCACGTGTCTGCCCAGGACAAAGTCTGACGTCAAATGTTTTTAGAAATCGAGCCATCACGACTTTAGCTTCAAACTGAAACATAAAAAGAGATTTGACTGTAAGATTTTGTCGACGTTCACACTTTCTCCGTAAAACGAAATTTTTCGTGTCATTGGTTATGTTTTCATTGGACCTATKTACGAAAGCAATGCTGAGCATGTGCAGGGCCTGGTGCSAGGTGTTTCGGTGATCGTTCTTCCTTGCAAGACWAATATGAGACTTGGAAAATCAATATTAGTGCGGTTTAATATCGCAAAACAAAGCCAGAAATTTTAATAATTTTACATATGTAATTATATGATAAACAGAATATTACATGGTCGCTTGGAGATACGAATTTTATCTTCGCTACGCTCACTCGTGAGAGATCTTTTCAACGCCTCGAAGATAAAATCYGTATCTCCGCGCGCCCATGTAATATCCTCTATATAATTAATGAAGCTYCAATGTGTACATGAGAGGACTTCTGTACGYACATCAATRACCCTGTATTTGTACATCCATCTATCCGACAAGTCATACTCCTAAAAGTAGTAATAGTCTCCTGTGACACGATTTCTACAAACCTGTGCGAAAACTTGTCCAATACAGTTTCGTGGTCCAGTCGAGAATGGTAAATAAGCGAAGTGAGGGCTGAAATAAAAAAAATTGATAAAATTAAATAAAGCAAGCAATGATAAAGTTACGTAAAACAACTCATTTAAACAGCAGCGGTTGCTCGCTTTGAACGGGAAAAAGGCATATTGCAACAATCATAATTACGAAACAATTTGATTAATTTGATAAAATCCAAGTAAAATGCATAAAGATGATCAAGTTCCTTTAATCATTGATCTGTTGACGCCTTGCCTTTAGGAGCCAGGCTTTCGAAATTTCCTTTTAACATGTAGTGTATGGCTTCAAATCTCATCTTCTGCATCATCCAGTGTAGCGGCTATCAAACTGGCACTCCCTAAGAGCGACAGTTATATGTTTCGCGCAAGACATTTTTCCAAATAAAGTAAACTTACATTTTCTCAGCGTTTTCGGGGCTCCATCGATCAGGGTTGAATTTCTCTGGATCCTCAAAATGCGCAGGTGAGCGATGTGAAGCAAAAATGCTGATCTACAACCATCAATCAATCAATTAATCAATCAACAAAAAGAGGTAAAATGTATAAAAGCATTCCAAGACACACAACTAGTTTTTCAAGTTAGTAAACAGAATTAAGGACGATCTACACAGTACTCGCTACAATGTTGTCACAGAGAAATTTAAACTTTAATGAAAAAGAAATTATATCTGTACACGACACAAGAAGATCACTCATGCCGAACGCTCATATTTCAAGTATATATAAAATATATCAGAACTTGAACTATGGGATATCATCGCCATTTTTTTTTTTTCAGTGCTAGCGCTAGGCAACTTAAAAATATATTGGCGATAATATCCCATAATTTCTGATATATTTTATCTATACTTGAAATATGAGTAAAAATCATCATAATTTCTGTATATTGCTGTAGTTCAACATATCCCAGCTATTAAGATGATCAATGTAGGATATGCACTGTTATTTTTTGAGAGTTGATTTAACTCTAAAAGTGGAGTTAAGAAGTTAAGAATTTTAATTTAAGAAAAATAGAACGCCGCGCGCGTCTCTGTCTGACATAAACACGCTGGGAGTTGAAAAACACGAGAGAAGCAAGC